CAATTCCCAAAAATCGTGTACGCTCAGTTTGATTTCTCACCTCTGGTCTCCATTCTTCCTGGCATACAGTGATCGCCCATAAGGCAAAAGTGCTGAACGCTCATCCTGTGCAAAACTGAAAGCTGTTGTCGTACTTCCCCAGAGCCAAGAGGCAGGGTGATGAGAGGAGTGACCCTTCATCTGGTGTGATCTAATCTGTGTGATCTTGGACTTTAGTATCTCCGGTTGCAAATCCTACACAACGACAGCACTGCCCATCTCACAGAGTACCTGTGAGGACCAAACAAGGTATGTGTGAAAATGTTCTATAAACTCTAAGGTACCATGAAAATGTAAGAGATTGCCATTAATAGCTGTAATTTAAACAGAGGCTGACACTGTTGTTGCTATCTAGAGCATTCAAAGAAATAAAGACAAATAATTCATGAGTTTCCACAGCAACCCTGTACTGTAGGAATCTGCGGGCAGGACCACCAGGTCCACAGTTATTTTCTTCATATACACACAGTTCTCTGAGAACTTGGGTTTTTCCGAATTCTCAGTAGGATCCTCAGGTTTTCCATTATTACGTAAATGAAAACTACCCATGATGTAAGTTGTTTGCTACATAACAACTTTGACATTGCAGAAGTAGGCTCTTCAGAAAGGATAACCCTAATGTTAAGGAATTTTGTGATTAATGTATAGATTTTGTTTTCTGTAGTCACTGGCATGACATTAAGTGTAATTTTCTAATAAAATGGACAAATTAATGTTTTCTAGCTTGCACTACTGTGGCCCTAGTTTTGTAGATATAGGAGTCATATGTTGTCAATAAATACATCTATTTGAAGGGAAAAACATGATTTTATTGCAGGGTGTTTAGCATTTCATATGACTCAGTGTCCCTGATGGGAGGAATGGGGATTATTACAAACTTGCCCCTGAAATTGAGCATCCTTTCATTAAACTAGATAAAATTTTCTCCTGAATTCTTATTTATAATGAAAATACACACATTGGTTAGGATTGGCTGTTACGCTGCAGTAACAGATTAATCCTAAAATCTAGTGGCTTCACACAAGGGTATCTCTCTCGCTTCCATGTGAGCAGGTAGCTCTGTTCCACTCCAGCATCTCTCCATAGTTGCCGTGGCAGGTGAGGAAAGCACCTAAAGAACATGCACCTGTTCTGCTTTGCTGTGCCCAGAAGTGACACCATTATTTCTGTCCATGGCCCCTTGACTAGTACTGGTCACACAGACTTATGGAGACAGAGAAATGTGAAAAGAACAAGGATATTCAGAAAGTGATGAATATCTCTGCCACAGCCCCCAGACTCTAAAGCAGTAAAATGCCTTCAATCACATTCCAGTAGTTTTACCCCCACCCCCTCGCCCCAGGACTGTGCAGAATAGAGGAAGGAGCACGGACTGGAAGGGAAGACTTCCTTCGGTTTGAATCCCAATTGTACCTCATGCTAACTGTGAGTTGGAGCAAGTTATTTTGCTTCTCTAATCCTCAATTTCATCATCTATGAAATGAGGATTCCAACACCTACCTGTTAGGGCTGTTGCAACAGTAAGAAATTATCTACACAAACCCTTTGGTGATTGTTATCATCGGAGGACAAGAAAATATTTAGGGCAGCAATTCTCAGCTCCAATCCTGCAATACTTCCGGATATCTCAAATTATCTCAAGGAGTGTTGTAACATTTTCAAAACACTTCAACTGAGATTATTTTAAATTCCGTTTGCTATTAATAAAATAAATTCTCTGCAGGTCACTAGCAGTGGGATTGATACTGACATCACTCTACACAAACTGTGAGAGTTGGAGTTTGTCTTTATTATTCAGCCTTCGCCCTGTCTGTGACATCTCCTTTCCTCCAGTCTCCAGGCGTTGGATCAGCCTGAGGTGTCACTCCCAGTGAGTTAGTTCAGCGATCTGAGCCTGGGTGTTCTCCTGGTCAGGGGTGGGGCAACCATGACTACTTCACAGGGTTGTTGATAGGATCAGATTGCAGATAAAGTCCTTGGTACAGTATAATAGAGTGTCTTCTGACTGTCTTCTAACTGACTGTCCCTGTGATCCTGCCTGAGCTTGGAGGAAGAGGGGGCTAGAGGTCAAAACTGCTAGAGCTGTGTCACAAAATCTCCGTGAGACAATGAAAGACCAAGTCAACAGTGGGTTGTAACTTACCTAACACAGAGCAGCCTACACTGGGCTGAGAGGATTCATCTACTCCTAGATATATAGGACTTAAAACTTTTTTAATGAGAAGAATTACACATAAAAATCCAGAATGTGTAGCACAGCTCAGTGGATTGAGCATGGGCCTGCGAACCACACGATCACGGTTCGATTCCCAGTCAGGGCACATGCCTGGGTTGCAGGCCGGTTCCCAGCAGGGGACTCAAGAGAGGCAACCACGCATTGATGTTTCTCTCCTTCTCTCCTTCCCTTCCTCTCTAAAGATAAATAAATTAAAATCTTTAAAAAAATTTTTTTAAAAATCCAGAATGTGGACTTCTTTAAAGAATCAGATCTGTTAGCATAGATGTGCTATTTGCCCCCGTCCTCATTGCTCCCTATCATTTTATACGTAGCCTGCTCCACTCATCTGCCCGACCCCCGTGAGGATCTGACCCCCAGCCAGTAGGTTCAGGAAAGTAGTCACGATGGTGGTGATGACAAGGGTAAAAACGGGGGAGGAAGGGAGATTGTAAACTGTTTGCAATGAGTCAAAAAGCCTAACGTTATGATCATATCGTTAACCTCCAAAAGCCTGCATAGGTTAACTAAGGTACCAGATCTCTTTGCTTTTAGGTGGATTTACATAAGCAAGGTAATTGTGTTGTCATGAAAGAAATTCAGACTGGCAAGTAAATATCATTGATAAATATTTTAAAAATTGGGAAAATCGATTACTATTATTTATTAAGTAAAGTTTGCTTGATAGACTTGTTCTTTCAAAAAATGGAGCCCCGGAGGAAGAAAATAGTATGAATTGTGTTTTTATTGGTAGAAAATTTTGGAAGGGAACAAGTGGCTTCATCTGTCTTTTGTCCACTGATATTTGTCATCCTACAAGTCAAACCAGGGGAATGTGTGGTATTTCAGACATCACATAGCAGTTAGAAAAGACATTTGGGAAAAGGTTACAGCAGCTTCTTTTGAATTTCATGTCCTTGTAAGTCAGGCTTTAAGTCTACCTTCTAAATTTAAATAATAGATACAGTTTTTCATACAGGCTCTGTTTTTTCAAAACTGTAAGGCAAAATTAAATGCAATGACCATTTATGATATTGCTGCACTCTGTTAAAACTGGTTAATATGACTCGTCTGCGCTAGTGTTCAAGGTCACTGTGTTTCAAAAGGGCGAAGAAACTTTTCACTGACGACCTGTAATTCCCCAGAATGGTTCCGTGTTCTAGATCAAAGTCGACTCAGTATTCTGTTAGGTAGGGCAAAGATATTATGCGTGTCCTCGGTCTTTCTTGCCAACCGCTTCCAGCCTTTAACTAAATTATGTGAGATCTTTTGAGAATTTTCAAACTAACATGAAAATTCATCCTAATCCTATCTACTCATTTTCCAAAGGCCCAGGAGAAGGACGAGGACTTGCTGGAGGCGACACAGCAGAGACCGCAACTCGGTTCTGATCCCCGGCCCAGATGGGTATGAAGGTTTCCTCTTTCCTCTTCCGCGTTAAACTATCCCAAGCCACCGTCGTCTGAGATCTGTTTTGTTTTTCTTTATAGTCTCTATTTGTCTAAACATTCACGTTTTCACAGTCCTCCTACCTTGTCCTTAGAGCATTTTAACAGGGCTTCCGAATTCTACTTTGAAAAATTCTGAATGAGAGGCAGGATCTGACGGCTTCTCCACAAAAAAACTTGTCAGGGCCTCCAGGAAGATAGAAATCTGTAAACCATAGATTTCTCTCTCTCTCCCTCCCTGCCCCCCACTCCACGCTGAAGTTTCAAATAGAAGTCTAACAGGAGGATGTATGTCTGTTCCTCTTAGAAACAATTCTGTAGAGATTTTATATATTCTGTTCATTTCTTCTTTTTGCTTCTGTGTCAATAAGGGGCTTTTAACTCCTGTCTGACAGCAGATTCTTCATCCCGCTTCTCTCTCTTGGACGCATTTAGCTGCTGTAATATCAGACAAAATAATTTTTTTCTAAGATGCGAAGTGGGGGGAGGGAAGCAGAGCAGAGACATCACAGGTGGTTCTGGCCAGGGCTGCTTCTCCCCCGCAACCCACCCCAGTTGTGTGGGAAGGCTAAGCAGAGACGCTCTGTGGAAAAAATGAAGACAGAATGGAAGCAGAGGAAGAGCCGCAATTTAAAACTGAGGTATATACGAGAAGAACGTAGCCTGACTCATAACTGATTCACAGTAGCTGGATCTACACAGAGGACTGTGCAAAAATAAGCAAAGGATACTTATAAACAAACATGCTGGCCAGCCCATGCCGCTGTTGGTCTCATCCTTCTCACTATAAAAAGTTCCCAAAGTCTGTGACTGTGTCAGTCACGAAGAGAGAAAAATAAGGACATACGCTGAGTTTTTTATAGTATGAATTTTCTTCCATTTAAAGGAGTATTTTATATTCTGAGATTACATCCTTCCTTTTTCAGCCCTAAAACATTTCTTTTCTAAAATGACAGTGAAAGTAAATGATAACTGGTGTTTTTTATGGGCTTCCTGGGCAGCTTAAAAAACAGATCACTCTATCTTGCCCCCCATTTCTTGTGTGTGGTGTTGCACTGATATGTGAAACCCATGTACCTGTTCATCTCCTACCTAGAAGAATATATTCTAAATGGTAAATAGTCACCTACCTTTTTGGAACAAATTTCAATTAACATACCCTTCAAGGAGAAGACTTAGCAAAAACTTACTTTTCATACTTAACAGCTGTCTCCACAAAAATGTTGCACAAGCATATCAAATTAGTCATAACAACTACTGTTAGGTGCTTAATGAAACACTTTATAACCTCTGACACTTTGACAGGAGCGAATTTAATAGTAGCAATAAATACAGAGGGGACTACATAAATCAAGGAGGTCTTGATGTGCAATTCTTGCTGAATTAGATGGCACCTCCACTTTCTCACCTGAAATGAAGCAAGAAATTAATTATAATGATTATAATCATAACAATAAGAAAAATTCATACTTTTAGAAAGAATGCCTTTAGATTCCCACCCCCTCCCGCCCACTTTGCGTATGTTGGAGCCAACAGACCAAGGAAAGCCCCAAAGAGAGGACAGGGATGAAGGTGAGGAGTGTGGCCTCTGACTTCGTTGTGACTCGACAGTGGCTTCCCCTCAGGGTAGGGCCTCTCAGTCATTTACATTGTGGGGCAATAAAACACAGGGACAATAACGAGCACTAGTCTAAAATTGTTTAAAGACAGAGGAGGCTTTAGACCAAAGATATTCTCAGTTCTAGGCATCTTTCCAACCTGTCTTCCTGCGAGTAGAGACAGATCCTCCTCCACCCTCCAATTCTCCCCTGAACCCCTTCACCTTCCAGCACCTCCCACTTTCGGTGGAGTTTGCTCGGAATGGACGGTGCTACCCGGCTGCTTATGGCAGATCATGGCCCCAGCCCAAGTTACTTACAAAGCTGTGTCTCTTTGAGGATCTTCACCCTTTATGCAGAGCTAAAGTCAAACAAGACAAGGACAATCAGTTTCCTGGCTTTTTAAAGGACAATGGATCAACATTTTGAATGCATCAAAGTGGCTCAAGGGGCAGGAAATGCAAAAGTCTGATCATCTCCTACCTAGAAAAATACACCAGAACAGAGGCGGCTAGAATATACAGCCACCTCTGCACTGGTCCAGGTCTTAGTCCTTTGGCCACATTAATTATTTTTATTAAATCTAGAGAAGATATATTAATAATTCTTAATTAAAAATGCTTCTAGGATTCTTAAATAGTTGAGTATTTCTTTCCTCTCTCTCTCTCTCTCTTCCTCTTTTGGTAGGAAAAATTTGCTTTGGATTGGAACAGGGGGTGGGTAAATTTCTTCTTGAGAGACATTTTTTCCCCTGAATAATATTCAGTTGCTGTCTGTTTCAAGGAGAATGGCCTTTGGTGCAGAATGAACTCAGCCTAGAGTGCACTTGTCTTTCGTTAGAGGCTTTCTGCCATATTGGCCTCCATTTGGCACTGGATTAACTGGTGGAGTCAGATGCCTGGCATTACCCTATGCCCATGCACACTCTGCGTCATGCTAACCGACAAGGTTAACCGTTCAACAATTCAAACTCCAGCCCACCACAGCCAGGACAGCTGTAAAGGTGAGCAGCAAGCACTATCCTTTTCAAGCATGTTCCTAAGTCTAGAGCAGATGCTACTCCCCATATTTATTTATTGCACCAAAGGTGTCATAGCAACAATAAAGGAAAATTTAAAAGGAAGACAAATCAGCCCTAAATCCCCTACCCCGAACACCACAGCAATTTCCATTCCAGTCTTGTCCACATGCACTTCTATTCCTTGTAAATCTTTACTGATAATACCCAAACAATTTTTATTCCCTTAAGCCACTTCCATTTTGGATCATGTGGCAGAGAGACCAGGTTGTCCAGGTACGGCTCCTAACTCTAGTCACTTCTACAACTAGTTCTTGGCTTTTATTTAGGTGACTTTTTACCTAAATAGCTTAGAATACTAAGATACCTTCATTATTCTTTTTCTTCTAGCAATCACTCCAAAGCACACAGTTAGGAAGACCACCACACTTGCAGCAATAATGGGTTCTATTGGTATGGACGTATCTTTATCTGTTGGAAATGTAAACACACAGAATGAGAAGTTACATTTACATGCTTCTAATTTATGTATTTCTCATATGTCCCAGCCATGGTGCCTTGTGCTTGATGTTTATCATACTCTTAATTAAATCCCCCCAACAATCCCAAAAAGTAGGTGTTATTATCCCCATTTTACAGGCAAGGAACCAGGATCAGTTTATGCATCCAAAGCGACAGAACTAGTAACTGGCAGAGACAGGTTATGAATCTATTTCTCTGTGGAAGGATAAACTGTGGTAGCATGAATAACTGCTCCAAAGCAGGTAGTCGGACCAGCTGGTGCTTTCTTCATTCACATTTTTTTTGCCATGCAGAAAGCAGAAGTAGGCTGAAGTCAGTGGTTCTCCTGCCTTTTGAAAAGTCCCAAAGATATTACAGGGTTTCCCAGTGAGGAAGAGGGAGGAAAACTTCAAGAGCAAGAAGAGAAAAGGTGAAGAGCCCACTGGACAAAGGGGAGAGAGGTCCATGGGCCTCAGGAACAGTGGGGACCCTTTACAGTGATAGCACCCCAAGCAGGTGACAAGACATTGTAGAAGGTGGCTGCACGGTGCCTCTGGGAGAGTAGGACTCTAAGCACTGGCCTTCCCATGCTGGGCACAGATTTTCATATGTCTCTGAACGATGCGGAAGAACAGAGAGGCCACTTCTAACTTGGACCAGGAAGAGGTCGGCGGCAGCCAGGACGGCCCGGCAGGGACAGTTCAGCCCCTTGTGTTCTGAGCACCAGGCAGGCGCAGAGCCATTTTGCTGGTCAGGCGCCACAGGCACAGGTTTTCTGCCTGTGAGCTTTCCAAGGGCCCATGAGCATATTTGAAAACTAAAAATAAAAAAGATGTACTGGCTCCAAAATATTGCAAAATGGCAAAACTATTCAAAATTAATAAATGTGTAAACATCTATGAAATGTAACTTTGTGTCCACTATAACCCAACGCTTAAATAATAGTAATATTTAAACCTTACGAACCACACTAATAATTTATTTATAATAAAATTAAAAACATGCAAGTTGTAAAAATTCTTTCAAAATGTGTGCAGCAGAAAAGTATGTGTAATGCCATGTGCTTCATTTTACTATGCGTGATATGCTCTGGGGTGGCACTTTCAAAAGCAAGAGTGATTAAGGTCAACAAAGTTATTTTATTTTATTTTAAAGATTTTATTTATTTTTAGAGAAGGGAATGGAGGTAGAAAGAGAGGGAGAGAAACATTTATGTGTGGTTACCTCTCACACATCCCCCACTGGGGACCCGGCCCGCAACCCAGGCATGTGCTCTGACTGGGAATCGAACCAGCGACCCTTTGGTTCACAGGCCAGTGCTCAATCCAGTGAGCCACACCAGGCAGAGCAACGAAGTTATCTTAAATGACCCTGCCTACGTGTCTAGAATCTGATGCCAGCCTAGGAGGGGAAGGAGCTCCAATCATGGTTAGGATACAATTTTAGGAATGTACAGTGTACTATATATTGTGCAATTGAATTTGTGGAGAGATGTAGTCAACAAATATTTTTGAATGAGTGCCATGTGTTAGGTGCTGGCCTCAGTCTTGCAAAAATAGGACAGACATGGAAGGCTTCTCCCTTTTTGGAGTGCATATTCTCGTTGGGAAGACAGAGAGTAAACAAAGAAAAACTACAGATTGAGACAAGTATTATAAAGAACACAGGGTCATGAGCCGGTATAGGAGGGGTAAAAGGTGGAGTGGAAGGGAAGGAAGAGTCTTTAAATAAATCTCATTTTAAAGCCCAAGCCTCAAGTGCCTCAAGATTATGAAATAGGTTTTATCCCTCCACAGTTGTATGGCACACTAACCAATTACCTTTTAACTCTTTTCTTCCCCACTTTTGTCCAGTTCCTGCTTGGGATAATTTTGGGAAGTACATGGATTAAGCATCCTTTACTCTTACTCTTCCGTGTTTGTTAAAAATTGTTCTCGCAAGGGTGTGGGGTGAATCAACCCTGCGGGGAAGCTGCTAAATAGGCCTCCTTAGAAGTTCCGGCTTTGTAATTGCCAGCCCCGGGGCACACCAAAGGGCCTTACCCTTACTGGGGTCCCCCTCCACTAGCAGTGCCAAGGAGAGATGTCAAAATGAGGAGGAAGCAACAGTGGGACAATTAGGAAAAAGGATCAGAATTCAGTCACAAGTTGGAATATTTTTTTACCAAACTGAATAAAATGAAGCCACATGTGACAGCTCTCACTCTACAAACAAGCCGAAATAAGCTGTCTGACCCATTGGCTCACTTTGGATTCCAAGTTCCCGTGAAAAGTGACTTCGGCACGTGTAACTGCGTCTCTCCCCTTGTTCTGTTTTACTCTCTTATTTGTAACCAGACCTGTTATTTCCTCCCAAATTAACATGGTAAAATGATCCCAACACATGGGCTAAGATCTCGTGCTTATGAAAAAAGATCTGTGATGTCATTTCCAACTTGCACAGCCTCATTTAGAAACTATCCCACTGAGCCTTGCAACAGAGGCAAGACTTCTGGCAAACTTGGCATTCAGGCCGATCACCAGCTGCGGAGAGCTTATGCTGTGGAGGCAGCCAACAACAATTAAAGCAGGAAGAAATAAGAAAAAACAAGTTGGCTTGGAGGAGCTCCACCCGAAGCAGGATTCTGCCCACCTGAAAGCCGATTTGTCAAGCCGGCATCCTGCTTGTCATACAAGCTGTGTATTTTTTATGTGACATGGAGCAATTTTGATTCCTTCTTAACCAAGAGGGATGATAACAATCTCCCAGTCTCTGCGTGTGGACTTTACAGCCAGTTGGAGTGGCATGGCCTGAGGCCCCACCGGCCATGCTTTTGTGGCTCTGGGGAAAGCGAACAGCCACAGGCCTTAGAATGGTGCCCTTTCCACTGATTTTATCCCACTTAGTTTATTGTGGGTTTGGTTTTTAAAGCAAGAAGGCCCTGGGCATACTGATACCGTTCTGCAGGACCTGTTACTGAACACGCCAGTAATCACAGTGTTGGGCAACAGCAGCTCTTCCTCCCCACCAGCCACTCTGTGGGTGTCCTAGTCCCCCCGGAGTGTGTGTGTGAGGGAATAACAAGGCCTGTGGTCACACCAGCCCAGCACTTCTAGCTGGGGTTTAGTTGGCTCCTTGGGAACCGGTAAGGAAGGCAATAAGTGGGCAAATGACAAGGTGAATAATGTAACAAGATATGGGAGCCGCAGCTTGGTTGGCTACTCCTAGCATCCTCGCCCCAGACCAGGAAATGTGTGTGTAAGCATTTTCTGTATCTGCTACAAGAGGTATCTCACCTTCCTCTCTTTGCGTGAGCAAAAACTATGAGGAGGGAAAATCACTCTGTTATTGTAAAGGTAATAAACCCGGGTGGATGAAGCAATGAAGCCGAAAAAGGTCTCCCCCCACCACGCCCTTTGCCCCCACTCCCTCTTCTGATTAGCCTATATGTTACAATTTCAGAGTTAGGAGTGATTTTATGGATCCGTTTTTTTAAACCTATTTGTTAGGTGTTTCTGACTTCTCTCCTGTTATGTTATCAGGCTATGAACTCCAAATTCCAGTTCTTACCAATGTGTTGCCCAGGAGAATTCATGGAAATATTCATCCCTAAAAGCCTACCAACATCATCTTCTCCCATATTGTTCTAGGAAAGGACCTTTGCTCAAAAAACAGAGTCCTATATGGAATGGACATAACTACCCTAAAAGGAATGACTAGAATCCTTAGAGGCAAACTACTTGAGTGGGATAATTCTTTATAGGAAATCCTGCCTACTAATCATAATTGTCATCATCACTTGTTATCATGAAAAATATTTACCGAGCATCTATTGTGAGTTTTGCTCTGTGCTGGATATTATTTTAGAAGAGAGTTACCTTTGACAAAGAGGTGGAAATCTTTGGTCTGTCTTTGCAGAGATGACTGTGCAACGCAGCTGTAAGTTCCATTGTCAGACGTCTTGGCTTTAGAGATTGACAGTTGAAAAGACTCACTGGTCTGTTGGATTTGGTGATGGTTTTTCTCTAAAGTCAGGATGCTACCGTTTTTGTACCACATCATTTGAGCCTGGGGGTTGGATTTCACGTTGCAAACCATGTTCACACTTTTGCCTTCCTCGACTGTTTGGATGTCTTTTCCACTTAGGAGAGGAGGAACTGCAAGATTCAAGCATTTAGGTTTAATCAGCAGCTAAGCAGTAGTTTACTGTTAGAGTTCAAGATCTGTCTTCAGTCTATCTCAAGTAGTCACTCATTCGACAAAAATTTATTGAGCGCCTTACTGTATGCCAGGCACTGGACCATCGTAAATAACACATATCCATTTCCAAACCTACCGGCACTTTTAATGTGGCAGAGAAGACAAACCATGAAACAAATATACATAATAATGAATCTGTACATACGTGTAATACTACCCAAGAGTATAAGCCTTGAGTCTTTGCTCGATGAGTATTAATACAAGAAACCAACCTGCTAGTGTTGGATACAACAGTATCATATTAAGAAAGCAGGCCTTGAAGTTAGCCCTTATGCCACCTACATCACTTACCGTGACCTTGAGAAGTCACTTAACTGCTAAGTAATTGCTCAGTGTTCTCATCTGAAAAGATGGGAGAACAGCTGCCTTGTGGATTACTGTGTAGACTAAATGAGAGAACACCTGTAGAAAATTCATCACAGTGCTAGTTAGCACTATTATGGTTGCGGTGGTGGTAGTTTTATATGCTCCTCACACCCTCTATTTTCACATTTTGTTTAACTGCATTTGCCCCAGCCACATATTTGCCAATGCGTATTTGCATTTCCTCAATAATCCGCTAGAAATAATGTCCTCCCCTAGAAGGTGTTCTAGTCATGGCAGCTCTGGCATCTGTGGAAGATGAGCGTGACTCTCTGAGTCCCTGTCATCCTCCTGTATGAGTGACTCTTTACTTCCTCCGTGATAAGGGCAGTTGAAGACCCCCAGATAGCAGGACACATTTATCTGCACCAAATTGTTCCAACCAGACCTTTCCAACATCTTGAGGAGGAATGGCTGAGCTGACTCTCCCCTCTTCTACATGCCCTTTGCATTTTTTTCTGGTCCAGGTGCAAAACAGTAATAAAATGTTTGAAAAGTGGGCTGTAGGGGAGAGGCAAAGGTGGAGAAGGAGGGGAAAAGGAGCCTGTATAATCTGCACACTGAATAATTAGACCCTGAGTAGGCTCTGCTATTAATAACACTCAGGAGAATGACATTTTGTTGTTCTTTGGAATGAGCTTGAATGTGGTATTCGGAGCTGCAGGAAGCTGCTAGAGTATAGAACATAGTTGCCAAAGATACAAATTCCAGCAGTTTCACTGGTCCTATTAGTTGTTCCTTTTACTTTAATTATTTAAAATTAATTTTAAGCTTATCAGCTATACATGAGCATTCCCTTTTTAAAAGAATTATACATTTCAGATAAAGTTCAAATCTTCCTCAACTCTATCTTCATCATTTTCTGACTCCATAGAGATAGGCACTATTATCTGTTTGATGTAATTCCTTGCATCTTTTTTTTTAAGATTTATTTATTTACTTTTAGAGAGAGGGGAAGGGAAGAGAAAGAGAGGAAGAGAAACATCAATGTGTGGTTGTCACTCACATGTCCCCTACTAGGGACCTGGCCTGCAACCCCAACACGTACCCTGACTAGGAATCAAACTGGCAACTCTTTGGTTCGCAAACTGGTGCTCAATCCACTGAGCCACACGAGCCAGGGCTCCTTGCATCTCTTTTTAAAAAGTAGTTTTTATACATATAATATGGCCATAGGGAGTGTATTGTTTTAGGAGGGTAAGAAGAGTTACATAAAAGACGTCATTCTCTCAACAACTTGAATGTTTCTGAGATACATCTGCACTGAATCACAGTTCTAGCGCAATACTTTTAGAGCACTATAGTATAATTAATGACTCTTTACTCATTTTAATTTGATGGAAATTAGGTCGTTTTCATTTCTTTAATGTTCAACGATGCTTCAGTAAATGCGCGTACTTATGCCTCCGTGCATACGCGCAGGTGTTTCTCGGCCAGAAGGAGAAATGCTGGGTCTCACAGGGCAGGCACTTTTTAAATTTTGGCAGATATTGCAGAAGAGGTGGTCTTAGTGTATACTTTCAGCAACAATGCGTGAAAGGCTCTGTCTCTGCACACACTCCCCCAAATAGCATATTATCACTTATTATTATTATTTATAATAATAACACTTGCTCAGGACTGCACATGCTATTCTTGCCCCCTTTTTGTACCTCATTTTGATTTGTTGATGGATGAGTTCCTATCAGTTTGTCACTATGAATCACTGACCAATCAGGTTTTTTTCACATGGGCTTAGCAACAACAATATTTATGAAGTGGTTATAAAGATGATTTTGAATGTGGATTCAAGCTGGAAACTGAAAATCATTTTTTAAAGCCAGCAGATCACATTGGCATTTCTGCCATACAGGCAGGGCATGAGACGAGGAGCCGGGGGACTTGTGTCCTGTTCCCAGGCCGGCTGTGATAATTCAGGCCCTTAATCCGAGCCCGTCTCCTCATCTGTCATGTTGGAGGGATTATGAGACCTCCACGGGTACCTGGTAGTTTTAGATTCTATCCAAGTACACGTGAGGAAGCTCCCTTTTAAAAAAAATCACATTTTGTTAATTTATAAAAAATAAAAAATGAAACTTCTATTCCCAGTAATAAGCAAATGATTCACTCTGGAAACACAAGCTGCAGGCTGTCGGCATTTTCCAGAGCTGATTCCTTGGCATTTTCTCCACCCTTTTATCTCAGGAGCAATGGCATCGACTTTTCACAGAAAAGCCTGCTGAACCCGAGTCCAGAGCCCTTCCTTCCAAATCATCCCACATCACCCCTCACCCCATCATCCATACCACTCTCCTGTAGAACCAGCTTTCCATCCTAACCAACCATGATCACTGACGTAGAATCACCTGCAGGACTCCTAACGCCATGGAGTTCCACCAGTGGGTTACCCATTCCTGCAACCCAGCCATCAAAGAGCTTCATGTTCTGAGGCTTTACATATGAACAGCCAATATATTTATGAAAAGGTGAGCACCTCATTTTTCAATTAGAAAGTTAAAATATCGTATCAGACTGGCAAATTTCAAACTCAGTGTTGCCGATGGTGTGGGGAAATAGGCACTCTCACCCTTTGTTGTGGGGACATAAATAGCACGATTTGCCTTGGCTGGTGTGGCTCAGTGGAGTGAGTACTGGCCTGCGAACCAAAGGCTGGCTGGTTCGATTCCCAGTCAGGGCACATGCCTGGGTTGCAGGCCAGGTCCCTAGTAGGGGACATGTGAGTGACAACCACACATTGATGCTTCTCTTCCTCTTTCTCCCACCCTTTCCCTCAGTCCAAAAAATATATAAGTAAAATCTTTTTTTTAAATCTCTGAAATCTGAAATAAATTTATTTTAGAAAATAAATATATAAATAGCAAAATCTGGCAATATCAAGCAAATGTTAAAATGCACATACTCTTTATTTTTTTTTTATCCTCATCCGAGGACATTTTTTCATTGCTGAGACTGAGAGAGGGAGAAGGGGAAACATCGATTGGTTGCGTCCCGTACGCACCCCCAGGGATCCAACCTGCAACCTAAGTGCAGGAACCAGTACTCCAACCGACTGAGCCACACCCGGCAGGGCTGCACCTACGCTTTAGACCGAGATTTCAACCCGCACTTAACGTAGTGCAGACCACACGGTGACCAGCGATTTCCTTCCCCTTACTCACTAGTGACATTCAGCACCACCGACACGGACACGGACTGATCCCTCTGCAATTTGCAGGTAAAGGTGACTCCGTTGTCATCTTCACTGATGGAAGACACACAGACAGAGCTGGAATTGATTTTGTTTTCGTCCTTCAAATTCACAGACTCCTCTTCTCGGTACCAGAGAAGCCTTTCGTCTCCAGTGCGGTTTTGAGCATCACATGTCAGAGACGCTTCGGCGCCCAACAGAGTGTTCAGAGTAAAGTCCCCAGTGTTACCATTCACAGTTAAAACGGAACCTGCAAGTGCAGAAAGAAACTATTTAAGATGGAGTGAACGATCTAAATGGCTATAAGTATTACATCCGTACAATGAAATACTTCTCAATAAATTGAAATGGTCGTATCGGTCTACATGATTTTACAAGAAAAAAGATCCATAATGTATCATTGACTAAAAAAAAAAGAAAGCTTAAAATGATGGTTACCAAACTCTGCTCACATTGGAATCCCCTGGAGATCTTAAAAAAATGACTGAGGCCTTGCCCCCACCCCCGGACATTCTTACCGACTGATAGGAGTGCCATGTGGGTGCCGGGTGTTTTAAAAGCCCCAGACGGTTATCATGTGCAGTGAAGTTTGAGAACCACTGGGTTAGAAAATAGTATGTTCAGACTTACTCCATTTATACACACACACACACACACACTTATGTGGAAAGGAAAAAATTCTATCTATATGTATAAAAATGGAGAGATACTTACCAGACTTAATTTGTTTACTTCAAGGGGTTGGATGTAGCAAAGTAAGGGGATGGGAGTGGGAAAATACAAAGGAAAAAGGATTATAGTAAAATGGAAAAATATTTCAGATATAACATCAGACGAATAGGTAGAATGTAAATTACATCTGTAATAGCTACTCTAAATATATCAAAATTGCATATGGGCAAAAGCTGATTTGAAAATATTTCTGATTAGATGGTAGAATTTGGTCTTCCATTTCTGATGTTTTAATATTGTTTTGGCAATGTAGCAAAATAAAAAGATACTTCAACAGCTGTGGTTTGTGGGATAGAAAAGTTGTGGCGGGAACGATTAGGACATATAGCACTTTATTTTCATCTCTCATTTTTAAAAAGATTTTATTTATCTTTAGAGGGGAAGGGAAGGAGAGAGGGAGAGAAATGTCAATGTATGGTTGCCTCTCATGAGTCCCCTGCTGGGAACTGGCCTGCAACCCAGGCATGTGCCCTGACTGGGAATCGAACTGCGATTGTCTGGTTCGCAGGCCCGTGCTCAATCCACTGAGCTACACCAGCCAGGGCTTGTTAATATATTTTGCAAACACATTAACTTTTTCTTTAAAAGCACAAATTACTGGAAAAAAAAGAGATTGCTGCCTAGTATTTTTTTTTTAATTTGGAAGAATATACACCAAACATTGAATCATTGTATTTAAATGATGGGATTTGGGGGGATTTTTACTTTTCTTTATTCATTTATATATTTCCTAATTTATTTTACAATGACTATGTATTGTTTTTAAAATGAAGGGGAAAACTACTTCCAAACTGGGGTGGGGAGCAAATGCAGCAAAGATTTTCCTGTAAGTGGTATGTCCAAGTGAACAGCAGAAGGTTATTTTGAATATTATTAGTAACAAAACCACTAAAATGTAGGAAAATTCTGGCTGTGGCTCTGGAGAGGATAGAATACTTCTCCCTGCTTATAATATCAGAACCATCAAAATATTTTCCATTTAACTTTTTATTGTGTTATCTGACTCCTGTACTCTGAACAATACCAACTATGTAGTCATTCCAACTTGGATTTTGGATTTTTCCAATGCCCACAGATCATTTTTAATCTGAATTTTTCTTTACTTAAAGAGACAAAAAAAGAATATGAACTTACTTGTCATTTCATGTGGCAGAAATACAAACACTGAGAGGAGAAATCTGCACATTCCCTTTAGGCCGCTGCTCTGCTGCGCCATCCCGAACGAATTTCAGTCGGATCTGCTGGGGGGGGCGAGAGTGCCGATGTTTCTGTCCTTTGGGCTGCACGGAGTTTATGAACCTTCGTCTTGTCTGTTAGGCACTTAAAATGAAGTCCCAGGTGAGTCATCCCAGTTACAATGGTACTATTTCTAGTTTTTAAACAGTCCTGTTCACTGACTACTGAGTCCAAAGTACTTGCAGTGTTAAACCATTTCTAAGACAACAACAACAACATCACAAAGAAATAGGCCGTAAGTTTCCAGGCAGCTAGAGCGCAGCCCCGGGGGAAGGTAAAACCAGCTTTCCCCAGGAAAGTTGAGAACGTCATCTTCACAGGGGAAACTCATTTCATCCTCAGTCCCCACTGAACAACGTAAATCTTGTTTTAAAAGCCTCTCTTTGGTCATTTTTGAAAAGTTGCTCTCTGCTAATAGAGAGTTTTCGAGACGATTCCAAGTGGTTTATTTGTACCTTAAAAAAGATTCCATTGCAAAATGACCTCTCATCCTAAACTACGTTCATTTCTGTTTCCCCCACCCCCTCCACGGCTCTCCCCCTCATAATACTCCTTCCCCTTCACCCAGGGCAGACTAAAAATAAAATAATATTAAAGGCCTCTTTTTCTTCTGTGCTTTGCTGTTGCCATTCCCCTCCCTAAAATATTCTCCAATTCCATCTAGAAAAAACAGGTATTTATTCCTTCCTTTGAAGAGAACCGCTGTGAATATAGTAGAAACACACAGAATGCTTTGTGTGCGACAGACACCAGGCCAAACACTACGTGTACATTATTTAAGTCTCAATTAAGCCCCTAACAGCCCTCGTGAGGTCATTTCTAAAGATTTGGATAGATCATATAATTTGCCCAAGATCCCAAAGACAGTCAATGTCAGGGCCGGAATTGGGACCCAGGACTCCGAGGCCATGCTCTTACCCGCCCTACCGCCTAGGTTAATACTCTCTTCCTTTAAGAAACTTCTGTTACTCCCTTCCACAGTCTCTGACCACTCCACAGACCTTAGCAACTTGGGGTTTTGTCCCCTTAACACAAATATTAACCTTCAGGAGCTGGAATATGCCCATGACCTTGCTAGGCAGTGCTACTTCTCTCCATCCCAGGCCTGTTCCGGCAGGAGCAAGCTTTGTTCCCGCCAGGCTTATCCTTTCTGGTTGGTAAGCCTGCATTAATCTTTCAATAAGGAGCAATTAGTACTAATACTGATTCTTTTGTAATTTCACAACCTGGTCAAACAGGTTTCCAGGACAGCATTGTTGCAGCAATGATTTCAGAATCTGGTCACCTGCAGAGTTTTCTCAGACACTGCCCACTTCAGGTGCACAATAGAAACTGAGAGCATAAGCTTCTTGGCAGATCGCGCACCACCATCTTAAGGAGGAAGTTTGATTTCCCTGCTTCCCTTCCACCCCTCCAGGACAGCAGCTTTTCAAAATGAGTTTCACTCACTTGGCATTTTTATAGTTTCTGTGACTCTCCTTTCTATACAAAACAGTCTTCCCACTTACCTGCTGAGCTTTGAAAAGCTGGCTTCCTTGGCCAATTGTTCTGTGTCTGAGAATTGTGCATCCCTTCCCTGTTACCATCTTTATAATACTTGAATTTGAACACTTTATGACAGTAGGGTCAAGTAAATAATTAAATTGGGTTCAAGGTCTGCTTCTCTTTATGGGTTCTTAGGGAAGACAGTGATTAGGAAAGACATCTTCTTACAATCTAAGAGCTTGTGTACACCTAAGTTACTGGGTGGGGACAGATATTACTAACAAGGATGTAATTGCTCCAAAAAAACCTGACGTTGTGCAAGAATGTGTAGCTCATCTCACTGAACATTGTCCTGCTTAAGTTAGATGGCTGAGCTTTGACAACCTGGCGGCCTGAGGACTGCGATGGGGCAAATCGGAGGAGAGGTTGGATTTTCACGGAGGCCAAAACGCTGGAAGATTTCCCACAGCCTAAACAATGCCGCGCAACTATCACTTCCCACTGGTAACCCGAGCCCAGTGTGTAAGCTGTGCCAAGCCAGCGGGGCCAGGGGAAAGTTCTAGCCCTCTGGGAGTCTCGCCTGACAGGGCAATCTTTGCGTCACACTTTCAAGAATCAGTAACAGAGGATAACTATATTTTATTGGTTAAAAAAATATGCGCTCAGGTATTGTTATAATATGAAGTTTATCTGGCCAGTACTATTGTTCCAATTATACAAGAACAGGATAAAAGACTATTTATGTTTATTTGCACATTTTAACACATTGGTTAAGTACATCAGAGATCAAGTCTTAGTAGCTCTGTGACTCCAAAAGTTATTCAACCTCCATGAGCCTCGGGTTCTTCATCAATACAATGGGATAAGAATAATGCCCTCCCTACAAAGTCCCCGTGAGGATTAAATTAAGTAAAGTATGTGAAGGAACACACGGTAAGCTCTTTATAAGCAGTTACTATTGTTATTATTAAGATAGGCTAGGCAGGGCACAATAAACCAACGCAGCCTCCTCGTAGCATTGTTCCCGTAAGAATCATAACTAAGAGCAGTTCCGGTTGGCTGGGCTGCCAGCACCATCTAATCAGGCTTTAGTTTGCTTTTTGATGGTCCTAAGAGTTGGCTATTTAATATTATTATTTTTAAAGGACTGATGTCTTGGTTTTGGATCCCTCCAAAGTAGACCTTACGACAAAGCTTTGGCTGCATATAGTTTATTTAAAGCTGATCGCAGGAAGCACAGTGAGGAAGTGAGATAAGGAAGGGAGGAAACCCAATAAAGGGTGTGTTATTAAACAGGTCAGTGCTGTGGGCAAATGTCACTGTGGACCCTTGGACAAGCTGTGTGAAACACACCTCAGAATCAACTCATGAGGGTGAAGGAAGCTTGGGTAATTATCCACCAACTTCTCCACATCACTGGTGGAGGGACACTCTTGGAGCGTTGACTCCCCAGAACCTCCAGCCCGCTCTTGGAGGGCAGCGTGCATACTCTGCATCCATCAGTGAATGTTGAGGCAAGGACACTCAGGAAATCACCTGCTGTATGAAAATTGCTTGTAGGTGCCCCCTAGGGTGGTCAAGGGGTAGGGCACCAATATCAGCTTCTACAACTGCATAGTAAATGATGTTACAATATAATGGTTAATTATTCTTATGGGTGATAAAAGTATTGCAATTATACAGGAGAACGTCCTTATTCTTTGGAGATGTCTGCTGAAATATTTATGGGTTAAATGTCTTGATAATTGAAAGTAACTTTCAAATGATTCAGCAGAAACAAATAAAAACACACTCACAAAGCAACCACAGCAAAGTATGAACACACTGGATCTAGAATCTAGATAAGGTCACATAGGTATTCATTACACTATTCTTTCAACTGCTGGGGAAAAGTAATTAGTGGTTTTAGTGGGGTTGCCAGTGCATCCGGGCCATGAATCAACAGGAGACTTGGGTTCTCAAGTCACGCTACTGTCATCTGTGCAAGATGGCTTTCGTACCTATCCAAATCTGTTATGTTTAAAATATGAGCAGTGCTCCCTGAATCTCACACCATTAAGTGGGTGTCCTGGGAGATCCAAAGATGAGCAAGACCTCCTAGTCTTCAAAGGTCTCCCGTTCCAGGGAAGAAAGTTGCTGGTCCAGAGCCAAGCAGAGTGCACTGTACTGAGGAGAAAATTTTGAATTTTAAAAATGGCACCATGGTGCCCCTTCTGGAGATTCAAAGAAGTGACAAGATTTGTCCAAGGTTATGTATCCTCCCTCGAGCACCCCTGGAACTGACAGAGAAAAACCATTCCACCATAAGTAGTTAAGCCTAGTAGTTAACCATTAAGCCTAAGTGGGTTGGCTGGTTGGAGTATTAACAGATCCCCGTATCTCACATCTCCTGCAAGCAGCTCAGGCCCAGAGAGGAGAGAGGCAGCCTCAAATCTGGAAATTCCTGGGAATAGAAACCAATCTGCCCCACCTCAGACTCATGCACGACTGGACAGAGGAGGGGGTCCAAGAACAGGCAGCCATGGCATTCTGATTGAAGTGAGCATAAGAAGCTCTGGGGAGATTTCAGGCACCTTTCCTACATCAGGTCTGAAGAGACTTGGAATCTCATCTTTAACAACCTACCCGCCAGGTGTAAAGGACGCAGTGGTCTGGGAATTTCATTTTAAGAGCCATATGCTATAGGACTAAGCATTGATGAGGGTCATAAATGTGGGAGCCCCTCAGCGGAAAGGAAGTACCTAGCACCATGACTCAGGAGTGGTGAGTACTGAAGAAACATTAGTGAAATGAAGGAAGAAGGAAGGGGTCACAGCCTTCCCATCTGCTGTCACAAGCTTGATGTGACAGAGGCAGCAGCTCAGCAAATGGCTGGAGGGCCACAAGCCAGCCAGGTCATCTGGCCAGGTCACTGGAAATGCAATTAAGGGTTTTAAAGTGACAGAAAATCTAGAAATCTGGCAGTCACCACCTAGCAATGATAAATGGTTCTTTGAGCGATGCAGGGACACAGTGTGGTGACTTTTCCATCTAGAATCCAATACAGTGTCACTAAACTGCTTCAAATTGGTCACAGAACTTCAGAATTTCCAGCTTAAACAGTGATTAATGATTCTCTAACTTCCCATCCTTCATTAGGATTCGTTCTTTCATCACCAAAAATCTCAGACCTTAAATCAAGACCTGGGATGCCTCCTGTCTAGGGTTGCTAAATTTAGCAAATAAAAATACAAGACACCCTGTTAAATTTGATTTTCATGTAACCAATGAATACTTTTTTTACTATAAGTATGTCCCGTGCAACAACTATGCATTAATTCACAACAAAGCCAATATTTGGGGTATACTTACATTCAAAAAATCATTTTTGAAAGTATAAGTTAAATCATTCAGATTTACCTGGGTGTTCTGACTTTTATTTGGTACTCCCACATCTAATCCTCCCTCTTTATAAGAGGTGAGGAAAGAAAGTTCAGAGAGGTAAAGGGACATGTCCGAAGTGATGCCGAGTTCGAATGCACTCCGGATTCCTGGCTGCCACAACACATCCTTTCCCAACTGTCTTCCTTCGGTTCCTCAGCTTGGTTTCCTGAACCACTGTGGATGGGCAAGCGTGGGGGTGTGTGGGAGGGTGTATATGCATATGTGCACATGGGTATTTTTCTAGGGAGATGGTCTCTATTTTTTAATTAGCTTCTCAAAAGAGTCATAATTTTTTTAAAAAAGATTAAAATGCGCTCTTTCATAGTACTGTGCTCTGCTTTCAAAATGCAGAACGTTTATTACTTTACGCTGAGATCACTTTTCTTCCTCCCCTACATCCCTTCATTCCCTGGGCCTGGTCATGCTAGAAAATGGGTAGATTTTACCTGCAAGTATACAGAAAAATATCCACGACGTCCTCTATGTGCCACGCAGCAGAAGCCATCCTCTCTTCCACAACCTCCCTATATCCACACCAGAACTTTCCCTGATCTATGCCGTAAGTTCCTTCCGCCACCTCTTAGAATCAACAGCCTGGAGTTGACAGGCCAGAACATCCTGAACAGCATTGGTAGCTGGTAGCAGTGATAGGACCTTTGAGGTTGACCACCAGAGGTCCCTTCTGGTCCATCCACAGTGATTCTGATGTTAGACATTGCTAGGGGTTAAAAGAGATACTTCCTTGGAGCAATGGGACCGGTCTCTGCCTGTAGCAGATGTAGAGGGTGTACTCTGTACCCAGCAGTGTGAGTAACCGTGAGATACAGCAGAACTGATGCAGGCTCCTCAAAGGAACCTGGGTAATGTCTTCCAGTATCTGTCTCAAAGGCAGAGCAGTTAAGGAGGAGCAGGGTGCTGGAGCTTACTCCTCATCCAAAAAGAAAAACTCAGGACATTCCACCACTCACCACCACCAGGCAAATATCCAATTTTCTTTTGAGTATAATCTGGCTCCAGCGGTGTATTTACTAGAAGCTAATGAAGCTTCCACTGGAAACCGTCATTTGTACAGGCCCCTTTTAAAGGTCCTGACCCTAGTGGCCTTATACTTGTCATTTTGTAATCTTTTCCTTAAAGAAGGCCCCGCCAATTATATAAACATGAGGTCCTACAGGGCCTGGATCTGGCACTGTCTGAGGGAGGATATGGGATTTCAGAGAAGAAAGAGGCGAGGGGAGTTTCAAAGGGAAGCCTTTCGCACTGCCACTGGAGACTAGTGAGAGAGGAATTCCTGTAGGAGGAGAAGAGATTCATGGATGCACCAAAGGACCGGGCAGCCACTTAATTTCCAAAGAGCATAACTGTGGGGGCACCAGAAGTGAGGGAACCCGCTCTGGCCTGCTCAGAGCTTTCTCTGGTCAGCATGAGTTTGCCAAATCATTAGGGGCAGGGTGGTTCACTGAAAGGCCTGTAGCATCCTGTTGGCTGCTTTCTGAATAAACAATTGGTCTTGCCAACCATTGTGTAGATTTTGAGGGAAAAAAAAAGCCTCCAGTTCCAGAATTTCTATGGGTTGCAATGAGCAATGGACTTCACAAAGAAGTAAATAATCAGAGTCGAGGGAGCAATTCTGTTTGATAGGTATAGATAGATTTTGAAATAAAAGAAGCTAAAGCACTATCCAC